TATTTCTTTTTGTGGCCAAATAACGTTTTATTTTATGGGTATATACCACATTTTGTTTATCCATCACCTTATGGATATTTGGGTTGCTTCTGCCTCATGGGTTTGGCCAGGAGCTTTTTGACAAGGAGGCAAAGGCAGTTAATGAAGAAAAGATACCCTTTTCAATAGATGTTGGAATAATCAGGTATTTGTATAGATAAAAAACGGAATCTTGAACTGAACTTCATACTCAATACAAAAATTAACTCAAATTTGACTTACATCTAAATGTAGAACTTAGAACGATAAACTTCTGAAGTAAAGAAAAGGAAAATAACTTTAGGATCTGTGGGTAGGCAGGCAAGGAGTTCTTAGGCATGACTCCAAAAGCACAGCCTGTAAAAGAAAAAATGCATAAACTGGACTTCGTCAAAATTAAAACTTCTGCTCTGGCTCTGCGCCTGTGGCTCAAGTGGCTAAGGCGCCAGCCACATACACCTAAGGTGGCAGGTTCGAATCCAGCCTGGGCTGCCAAACAACAATGATGGCTGCAACCCAGAAATAGCCGGGAGTTGTGGCGGGCGCCTGTGGTCCCAGCTACTTGGGAGACAGAGGCAGGAGACTCGCTTGAGCCCAGGAGTTGGAGGTTGCTGTGAGCTGTGATGCCACAGCACTCTACCCAGGGGGACAGCTTGAGGCTCTGTCTCAAAAAAAAAAACAAAAACAAAACCAAAAAACTTTTGCTCTGCCAATTGACACTATTAAGGGAATGAAAAGGCAAGCTACAGACTGGGAGAAAATACTTACAAATCTCATGTCCAGCAAAGGACTTGTATCCTTCAAAACAACCCAATGTAAAAATGTACCACAGACACTTCACCAGAAAGAATCTAGAGATGGCAAATAAACTCATGAAAAGATAATCAGGGGCTAATGGACCTGACTTTGGTACATGTGAGCAACTCTGCCATTTGAGCTTTCTGCCAGAGGTACAAAAGACTGATGGTGATGCCATATTCCACAATGAATTTGGAAAAAATGATGACGATCAAAACATACATACATACATCTATGTGTATATATATGTATACACACACACACATATTTTCAACATTTTTAATTTTTGGAGGAATGTGAGTGAAAGCCACAATATGATACCACTGCACACCTACAGAAACAAACCGTGGTGCCTTCCAACAGTGGGATACTTCTTGGCAATAAAGGAGACAAATTATGGATACGTGTGACAACTTTGATGAATCTCAAAGGCCTTGCCCTGGGTGAAAGAAACCAGTTTGAAAAGGTTATCCACTGAATGATTCTATTTTTTGTGAACATTCTAGAAAAGACTACAGCGATGGAGAATAGATGAGCGGTGTGAGGGGTTAGGGATAGGGTAGGATTTGAAAATAGGGAGAACAGCAAAGGGAAGTTTTTTAACTGGTAAAAAAGACAAGTCAGGTGCTCATTAGTTGGAGACAACTTTTAACAAGAAAAACCAGGAAACTAATCAATTGAGGATATAGCTAATAGCTAGTAAATTGAGGAAATAAAGCACTATTTTATGAAACTTAAGCAACTTTTTCCCCTTGAATTACCTCTCATTCTTACACCTTTAGGCTCTATAAATTTTTATCTTTTTTTTTCTCTCCTAGGTACCCTTTTCAGATACATAACTCCACACTTCTCTAAGCTTTTAGTTTTTATAAAATGGGTTAAATCTCAAAACAAACACTAAAAAAGCTACTCATCTTGTCTTCTTACAGAGTTTTGCGGAATTGAGTTTTTCTTGTCGACAGTGGCCTTCCTGCTCTTCTTGTGAATCCTCCCTACAGCTTTGTTTCTGTGCTGGTTCCAGTGCAGTCTGACCACGGTCTCTGTGGTTCCTGTTAGCGTTCTCACCCAGGCCGAGTTGATTTCATTCTGCGTCTTAGTTTCTATTACATTTGAGTTTCTTCCTGGTTCGAAGAATAAGAGAAGGATAATTTGTCGGTAACTTTTAGTGGTAGGGAAAGTTTGAAAGGGACCCTAGAACGAGGATGGGATCCTGAAGGTGCCACATTCATGTGAGGAATGAGCACAGAACTAGAAGGTGTGAATACAGAAACTTAGCGCGTAGGACCCTAAAGTTAGTATAGTCGTCTGTATATACTCAGCGTTTGTCAGATTCTCACTTGAACATCCTCTTCTGCTCTGGGTTGGCAACTTAAACACGTGGAAACATGTCTCTAACATTAGAGAATGTCTCTAACATGAGAGAATGAGACCTTTAAGAGAAGGTTAAAAGAATTGAAGTTTCCTAAGGACGAGAGAGTGGGTATAAAGCCTGTGAAAAGTGGGACACCAGGCTTGGCGCCTATAGCTCAACCGGCTAAGGCGCCAGCCACGTACACCTAAGGTGGCGGGTTCGAATCCCCAGCCCAGACCCGCCAAACAACAATGAC